GGGCATAACTTAGGTATGGCTTTTTAATAACTCTTTGAAAGGCATTTCTGTGCACAAAGTACTAAAAAGATCGAATTTCGCCTCACACCTTGTGCATTTATACCAATGCTTTTAAAGGTGTCAGCTGATGAAACTGAACGAGTGCGGTCACTCAGGTAGGTAGGGGGAAATTCGTCAAGTCCTAAGAATTCCCGGCTATTGTAAATCAAGTTGAAACGTTTGAGTGAGGATTAGGCGCACTAAGTCTATAAAGGGGATGTTTCTTCATTCTGTCTTCAGGAATTTGCATCAATCAGTGTAACCTCTGCAAAAAGTAGCATAGGATTCGAGACATTGGCAAAATGAAGACCAGTCTGTCAAATTAGAGCCCGCTTTTTACTAGATGTTCACAATGTGAAGTAAACCTCTTTTTCACTGTTCTGAATGCATATTCCATGTGATTAATCGCGATTTAGGATAAAATCGTGTCCCACAGTTGTTCATGTTAGCTTTTGCGGTGGAAGTAAGTTTAGCGGATGCTGCACATTACATGAGGATACAGAAGCAAGGGCCCATTCTCAAGGCTCCTGTTTAACATTTCAACAGACTCCACATTTTTGAACTTTTAAAATTGGCTCAAGTCTGCTTAAAGCAAACAGAAAGAGATCTTGGACTAGACGAGTACTTACAGTTAACTCACTTTGCACATATGCGCTCGAGTTTCGCATTGATTCACCAAATAATTGCCCAATAGATCAACAATGAATGTCTGCCACTAGCTTTTGTCTCGCTTAGTGAACCAGATATTGACATTCGCATAGCCAATAGACACCGCTTTCAAAGTGCTGTAGAGCAGGCGATAGTTTAGGTTCTACTCGGCCTCGGAACACTCATTCATTGCAATCTGTCGCGACATTTAAGAGCATTGTACCTCCCAGGAGATCCTTGGGGCAAGTAACTACCTGCCTGAGTCCCGTGCGCTTTTTTCTGTGCAATTGTAGATCAAGTAAAACCCATTACTTTCCACCCTGGAATGGGTCACCCCTGATATATCAGTTGTTTTTTAAGTACTTTTTTTTGCATTTTGTGACAGTGCTTCTTGCACTCTTGTTGTGTCAGCTGAATATTCGCAATCTGGCAAATTCACACTGTCTGAATTAACGACCTTGGTTCAAAGGACTCTGAATGTTATTAAGAGTTTATATATATATATATATATGCATTGAAATATATCAGATCGGTCGTAAGCAGCGTTACATTGACATTTGTTTCTGATTTATAGTTTTACAGTTATGGCACCGATGGGGTTAGAAACGTGAAACATTTGCAGTAAAATTCTGTTGCAGGTCGGTCATCCTGCATCATTCACACATAATCAGATTTATGTACTATACTGGTAGGAAATTTTGTTCCTATTTTTGTAAGAAGAATCTCCGCATACTTAATACGTGGTTTTTTAAAGGGTGAATTTGTCAAGACTCTCATATCTACTTGCTCCCACATTTTCTGAAAACAGAAAGACAACTTTATGGTGCCGGCAAACTGCAAACCGCCCATGAATTCAGAGCGCATAGGTGCTCCAGAGATGTAAATGGAATGCTTGAATTTAGTGGTGATTTATAATTTTTTGGTTATTCATTTCTTCCAGCCTACTGGCTATCACGTCACCCGACCAACCAGATGTTCAGCTCCCGGGAAACACATCAAAGGCGTGTTTATCAACTAGCGGGAACAAAGCCTGCATTGTACTTGTAGGCCTTTTATGCTATGGGGACTTCAAACTGATTTTGATATCCAACTTTAGAATATATTTCCCTGCAAGTCTAAAAAACTCATCTAATATTGCAGTAAACCCTTTGTTTTATTAAATCAATTTAAAACTAACCATACTCAACTGCATTTGCAACCATTTGAGCTTTCTATCATTTTCTGATTCTTTACAGAGGAAGTCAAACCTAAAGGTGAACATACAGTTTAGAAGCTTTCACGGAATACAGAGCACTGTACTGGTCGAATTACGATATTTGGTCGCACGAAAAGGAGAAAAATCTTCGTGGCGTTCTTAGTAGTGTGCACTTCTAGGAAGGATCATAAATTTGTCTGAATTTCTGCCTCGTAAATAGTTCTTAGAAGATTCAACCAGTGTGATGGAAATCTGTGATCCGTTGTATGTCGTCCGTCTTGTGATTTTTTGTTCCAGTTGGAGTTTTGTGTTAAATTACGCAAAAAGGTTCGATGTGTTTCTACGTGTGTTTAATACAGAGGTGCATGCGCTGTTTAATTGATGAATACAAGTTCGCAAATCAAGAAATTCTCACCAGACTCATGAACTTTTACGACTCTTTGGGTTACCCGACTCTCTTTCCGCTGCGCCATGGCCTACTTGGGGTATTCTTTTATGTATTGGCTGGTCTGATTATTCGCCTGATTTTACCAGGCCTCACTAAACTGTTGTAGACCCAGCTGGACCACATGCTTGGACGTCATCAATATATTTTCAATTCACAGGCACTGTGTCTTTCCTTCTCCAAAATTTCCTTTAATCTGCACTCCGAAAAGCACCCTAGGCCCAAGTTACGAAGAATTCCACGCAAGTTGAACAAGACCGTTTATCAGATAATAACATGCTGGTGGGTAACATGGCGCTTACTACTAAGTTTAAAGGTCTCTGCGACTCCAATGCTCCTCTATACTGTCACTTGAAGAAAACATTCAACTTTTGCTTTGATCCATCTTGCTAGGTCGAAACCGCCAAAATCAGTGCGGATGTTTTTGTCCCTTCCGACTTTCAAAAAGGTTCCGGAGGAAAAAGAAAGATGCTTACAAAAAAGGAAAGCACGAAGAATTTTCAGGCTTACGTGATTGAAGATGGTAGAAACTACCACAAATGAGTCTATATTGGTGATGCTTTTGGAGACAGGCTGCTGCGAAATGTGTTCTGCTCTAAGGTATAAAATCAGAGCTATGTTCTTGTGACCCCGATTTTGACATACTAAGGTCCGCCACTCTGGCCAGCGAGATTCGATGTCACAGCTAATAGTACCGTCACATAATGTGGCATCAAATTAAGTAAATGAACTAACTGAAGTAAAGCGTGTGATCATAACGTAAGTGTCAGTGTTGTTGGCGTGCCAATAACTTTTCCACTTAGAAATGTCTGCCTTTCGGTGTGCTTAAGGCGAAACGCATGCCCATGGAAAGGGCAATGGAGTAGGAGGTTATTCCTGTTATATCCACTCATCTAAAGTTGCTTGAATATTTATTTTCAGGGGCAGAGTTTTTCTTCGAGTATGGCGATTGTCATGCAATCGGTTTCTCACAAACAGGTTACATCTCTATTGGGCACTTGAGCAGTTTTCTGTCGTATTAAACAATGCGCCGTTTTGTAGACCTGCACTTATGCTCATAGTATGACAGCATTATGGCTTCACCTGTGGCAGTTTTTGGAACTGTTTTTTGATATCACCATAAAACCCCACTGAACAGTCATGCCATCACTCCCCGTGTCAAATACACCAATCTGAGAAAGTGTTTCTAGGCTGAACGATTGGATAGATAACACGTTCATTCTATTCATTGTATGGAGAGGGGTTTCTATCTTGTGTGTATTGGGACACTGTTTATAGAAAACTTGCAAGCTCCCGCGTGATTGAAAGGGCTGCTCATCGGTGTTACTAAAAAATAGACTTGTAAAGCAGTTTTGACGGTCACATCGGGAAGTAGTCGCTATGAGGCAATTTTATTTACGGTATCATTTTTTATGATCACGCGGGACATGCTGTTGGAAAACAATAAGTGGTTCGCAAAACGATCCCTGAATGGTTGGTTAATGAGTTTTGTCTGCTACACAATGCTCTTACCGCACTGGAACTAAGTTTGTGCTATTGTTAATTGTTCAGTTGGAAATAACTTAATCATCCAAAAGACACATGCCGTGCAGATGTTGAGAGTGATCACATCCAGAAGGAAAACATAGGTGCTGATTATGCAGCTGAATTTTCCATGTGTCTTTGAATTCCACTATGAGCCTTTGTAAGCCGCAAGAACTCAGGGAAGGAATACGTTTTTAGTACAAATGATCTACCCGACTCGTTAGACATCATAATATTCGTATGATGCCTTGGATTAATGCTCCCCGAAATCTCAATGGGTAAAAGATGGACGGAAAGCCAAAATGCAACTAACTGAAAGGTGCATAACATTTCAACGACCGTTTGGAGCGGCTGGATTTCCTGAGAAATCTCAGCGGACGTGTACCTGATGTAATCAAGACCTTATGGTTGCACCAGAGAGCCAAAGGCCTTGCACATTCGTGCTTTGTACAAACGAAGATCAGGTAATGTTTCTAAAATCATCCACCACATCTTAACTTAAAGTCTTCATATTTTAATACGAGTCCATCTAATCGATTTGTGTTATTATATATATATGGTTCAGAGCATGCAGAACATCGGCCAACTTGTTTCTAAGAAGCATAGCACTGCATTCCCTCATTCTGGTTTATTCATGAAAATCCGGTGAAAAATTCTGCTTTCAACACTTTGTAGTTCTAGACGACCGTCTCCGATTTCTCGAAATTTTAGTTGATACGGCTACACACACGCGGTTTTTCCAGGCGTTTCCATAAACGTGGGCCTACCAAACCACTAGCTGGATAAATTTGTTCCACTTGTGTAGATCATCCTCAGATCATCCTGTCACCTTCCAGTTAAACACCAGCTTCAAGACACCAAGGCAGAAGTAAGAAATATTTTCGTGAAAGGGATGAACTGTTCGAAATCCCAGCTAAAAATATCTATCCACCCAATATTTTAGTTAAAGTACGATAAGTTTAGTTTGAAAACTTCAAAGTTAGAGATGGAGATATTTGACACAACAACCAGGGTTCATCATCAGTTGAGCTTGAAGTGAGTCCACAAAGTCCTACAGGCAAACTTAGCGCAGTTTGTGAGCACCCTATGAGGGTGCACACTGAAACCGGACATGCAAAAGTGCTATAAAAATAGATATCATCTACTCACCAATCACACACCCAGCGGCTCCTCCGTTTAGACGGACTTCTCGTACCACTATCTGCTCGTCTGTGAGACGATCGCGTATGGTTCTGATGAGTTGAACCAGAGGGATATATAGGAGGGGCATACAGTTCACCAGCCCTGCACGCGGATGGTGGCCACACCTCGTAATAACTTCTCTGAAAGTCCTCCGAGGGAGGGATTCACAGTAGATGTGATCACAAGTACAGCTGGCGTTCCCCGGAACCACGCTAGATGACCGTGTTGCACACGAATCATCCGTCATAGCCAGAAGCTGCCCCGGACATGCTTCAGTGTGAATACTGGATGGATGATATACCATAAAATCCCATGTTACAGGACGTGGTGAAACAGTGAGCACAGTCTGCAGGACCTCATCAAGGTGTTTAACTTGTTTGAAGCTAAACACATGGTAACGGTTTGACGGTTGGTTCTTATCACTGGGTATTTGGGTTAAAACCCGTCTACTTAAGACAGTATAACCCCGGGTGCCACGCTCAGGTTGCACTTCGGATTCAGTGTGTAAGTTGGTGCGAGTTTGTTCCGATAATGTGGGATTATGAATCCGGTTTGAAGGTGGAGTTGGGGAGTCATATGGGCCAGATTTTGATCTGGAGACGATGTTCACAGGTCTTCTGCACTTTGGAAAGGTCAAGTAGGCTTTACGTTTTCGTGCACGCGTTTTTTCTCGTTTAATAAGACCGTTCTGATCCAAGGTGGTTGTCGAAGAATTGTTGACCGTGTTATATCCAGGAAGAGTTGTGGGCTGGCGGGATAATTTATTAGATTTTGTCAGATAGTGTGTAACAGAATCATGTTTTGATGTTAGTCTCAGTGACACAGTTTCATCCTTGTTGCGGACTAGCTGACGGTCTCGGTAGTTATCCATGCGCGAATTTCGCCAAGATCCACTCCAGTCGATTATTGAGCGGGACCCAAACTGATCATGGTTGTGTGATATGTAACAATAGTGAAAAGTTGTTCACATTTATCCAAACTTCGTTACACCGTGTTTACTTTCATTCATTTGGATTCGAATGTTGGCGGCGCTGAAAAACACCAGCTCGATGCAACAGTTATGTCCCCTTGTTGCCGACTGAGCATTGTTCTATCTCACGCCTGTTTGAGACATACGGCGCACTATTATTATTGGATGCGAGCATGTGATTGAACGCTCAATCGCGAGTGGAATTTCCACTCGATCCATTTGCCCAACCGGGATTCGTTAGCCGCCTCGCCTGGCCTTGACCCGCCAAATTCCATTGGACGAGCGCTTGCCGGCCGGTAAGTGGGCTGCCATCGTAGCCGATGCAACGCCGCACAGTCGGCAAAAGTAGACTGGACAGTCTGACGTGCAACTGGATAAAAAGATGACTCCGGAAGCGCGCACATAGCAAAATAAAAAAGGCTATCCCTCGAACTACGACCGATTTCACTAACAGTAGAACTAAGGAAAGTGGAAAGCGGGTCCGAAAGTGGAGTTCACGACAAAACAGATGCTGCAGCCAAACACAAATATATCGTTTAACCATTAGCTAACTAAGATGGAAATCCTAATGCAGTCAGCTTTGGCATACAATGCAAAAGATTGCAAGATCCACGTCGATTGTAGGTTAAGGTTAGATAAGGTGACAGAAGTATTTTGGCTGCTAATTCCAACTTTGAAATTTGCTGTTGAATACCACTTTCAAAGACCAGTGAGCGATCGTTTGTAGTTCAGTTGACGTATTTGTGTGTTTCAGTGTTATGAGATTTGTGCAATACACATGCAAGGCGCACGACTTAAAAGAAGTTGTCCGAAATGAAAACCGTCAGGGTTAGAGAAAAGTGACTGGGTTAGCTATGTCAACGAGATTGACAAAGGGTTATTCGAAATAAGGGTGTAATAGGTTGGCCATGAACATATAAAGGTGAAACATGTACTGAATCACAATATTTATGACAAACTCATTCTCGCATCAAAGTTGATATTTGGTTCCAAAAGGGGCGTGTATTAAACCATCTTTATAAACGAACACTATGTACCAATACGGAACTCCTTCCTAAGGAACATGGGTAACCAGCTGTCTCGAAAAGTACATGGATAAAAGTAATCAGTCCGGTAGGGACATCACCTCCAGATTTGGTAAACGTTTTAACGACTGGTTGCACTGAACTCCCGGTTCGGTTCATTTTACTTAATTGCAATGTAGCAATTGGACAAAAGCAAAAGACAAACAAGTGGGAGTTCATCTCGGCTTAACCACTCCTGTTTGCCTCAGATCACCCTTCTTGTTAAGAATCGGGAGGGTCGAAATGGTTTGAGTTTGCCGCTCGTTTTGCCCTCACTGTTGCAAGTAGCAGTGAGACTGACCAAGGCAAGTAAGTGTGAAGCAATGAGCTGTTCTCTTACTCGTCTGCATAAGAATCATTAGACAATCAACATCCATTAAGAAAGCACTTTGTTGATGGCGTTGACATCAAGATTACAAAAATGGTAACTCCTTAGAGTTTCCGACGTGGGCGTTAGAGCTTACTATGAGACGCCGGAAGTGACTCAAATAACTGGGATAGCTAGTATAGATGATCCAGTGGCATCATTTCTACAAAATTCTGAGATGCCATCACCGTCATCATCAGTGACAGAAACATCGTTACCGATATAGGCCCTTCACCACCGTAAAAAATACGCTTTTCCTGGGCGGCTCAACGCAATTTCGACTCCGGCATATCTAGCTACAGCGTCCTTAGCGTCATCGGAAGTTCGTAGCCAGAAGCGGAAAGATAGGGTGGGGGCTGTGACTTCCAACGCAGTACTTGCGTCCTTTATCCATGTTTTTGGGGGCAACATACATCAATACAAAGGAAGTCTAGCTTACGAGCAACTCGTTATACTGCCTGCTTAATTAGGCGAACCTAAAAAGCAGCTAATTAATCTGGAGTGTGTAAACGAACTTTGAATAGTTTTGGATTATTAGTGTTGGTCAGATGCACGGAAGCTGAAACTCAGGGTTATGCAATGCGAACAAGGCTATCATTCCTCGTGCCGGGACATGTGGAAGAATATTCCAGCTGGGGTGGGTAGAGCAAAATATGGAATACGCGAAAATGTAAGAAGTGAGACGTCAGAGGTGGCGTGTTCTGCCTTACACGTGCTGCTGTATGTAACAAGTGAGCCGACCCTGATTGTGAAACCACTCAGTGGTCGATGTGAGATATTATTGCTTTCATAATTGACGTTCCGGGGGGCCAAATACTGTCAGGGAACCCAAAAACATAGACAGAAAGACGATTAGGCTCCTCGACTAAAACTTGTGGCTCAAATATCTGAGTGAAGGAAGCTAATGGGTGATGACAGACTACTACGGTAGTACAGGTTTCTAAATGAAGAGGTCGGTTTGTCTGTTTCAACCCTCAGGCTGGAGGACCAGTAGACTTCGTCAGACATCTATCTGGTGACCAGCCTGGTGTTAGAAACTATAGAGGGTTCACAGTAAAAATTCCAGTATAACACAGTCCTAAATAAACCATCACACCAGAGTAAGGTGCAGTATCTTTCCAGCAAGGTATAGGTTCACACACGCCATAGCCCTGATAAACTCTGAATGTTGACAGAGACGCAGTTCCAAACGTTTGTACGGAAGCTGTTGAAAAACTTCGTTAACTACGGTCCGCGCTTCTAACTGGCAAATCAGCAGAAAGAATGCTTAAACGGATTTGATATAGCACATGTACTGACCACACATACACATAGACTACTGTGGGAAGGACACCTTGACCATGGAGGGACCTCATAGGAGAAGTCCCACTGCATTTTTAAGCTTAAATCGTCATCAACACTGGTTTCTTATTCGATCAGTGTTTTAATTCTTTCAGGCCTTGGGTGCATCTCAAGTGGATGGAATTTGGCATCGTCACCCTTTCTTCTTGGTTGCGTGACAAATTTTATAGTCCATTCAGAGTGCAGATACAGATGTCTTTGTTAATTGCTAGCAAAACTTTTCTACCGCAAGGGAGTGAATTCAAGCGCTGAGTTCCAACACACCTTGGTGTCGGCCAGCAAGTACAGGCGTAGGGCGGGCTTATCCATGGGTCCATTAATGCGTAGTGAGTGAGAGCTGGGAAGCTCAGGCTATTCAGATTGGTGGTAAACCGTCGGTAGAAATATGCCTCATTGAATACTGGTGCAAAGCTAACCTGAAAACTACCCGATAAGGTCATCATCCATCCTCAGTTATGAAAAAGGTACTAATTGTACCAGCAGTTTGATATGAATTGCGAACTTTTTAGATCTTATCTTGGGAAGACACAGGGTGGATTATGTGATACCTAAATTACGATTCATTATTTCGACCTCCCACTAGGTTTCGCAGCTGACCAATCTTTTTTACATTTTCACCGATCAATTTCTAGGTTTTAGTTGTTTTGTTCGTCTTCACGGGATACCAGATAATCAGCAAACTAAGAATTCCAGCCCTCCGTGATCGTGTTCTGTGGTTTGTAAGTAGTTTCTAAAATCTGTTTGATGTGCAGCAACAGTTGAATGGCCTGATCTCCTAATAACGATAAATTTTAGGGGAATAGGATGAATTCATTCCACAATAGTAGTAAGGGTTTGTATTTCATTATTATTCCGCATTGAGAGCTATATCACGGGTAAGCAAATACTGAGCGACCGATGTGCAGCTTGAATCATAAAAAGTGTTTCAGACCAGTCTATGGGGGTTGATCACGAATAAAATTTGCGGAAATTACGCCCAAGAACGTTTTTTGGAGCCTAAACGGATTAATTCTATATGGAACCTATTAACTGTTGGATGAAAGCTATTAACTGAAAGACTCATTTAAGTAGTGATCCATAAAACACTCTTTACCAATATAAATAAATGAAAAAATATACATAGATTGGGACACATGGGCTGTTTGACTGCAATACTGCCACAGGTATTAGCATGGATCATCGTTACCGCTCGTGTAGACGCGTCTTCTGTCTCACTGCCTGTCTGTCTCACCACCTGACGTAAGCCTGGTGGCAGTCTCGGAATACGTCGTTGTAGACGACTTCAGACCAGGAAATGCCGTATTTTAGTTGGCACAGTTGAGTTTACATCCAGGTGACTGGTGTGTGTGCCGAGTCAATTCAACAGCACTTCATAATTTATTGTGCGACCTTCGAGAACACCGGACTGAGGTCGATTTCCAATGCGCTGGTTTATAACGCACGCGTTGATGTACTACTTTGGACAGCTGCTGCGCTACATTACTTTAAGTATGTGCAAAATGCTCTTTGACGATAGCAAGGTGAACTCGGTTTGTCCTAATAAGGCTTGCTGTCAAAACTGCTACATGAAAAAGTTAGCTTAGAGTTGCGAAAGGGAATCTCCATCAAATTACATTGACGACGCTCGCAAATAAATTCGTTGGATAAAATTACTTTCACACAATCGCCCTACAGACAGTGAATTGACCTGTAAGTGTTTTCTCCTAGAACCCGTTATTTCTGAAAATACCGGTTAGTAAACCGGTACTTACTTAGGCAACAAGCGAACCGAATGATTCCATGATATCTCGTTCGCTTTAATGAAAGTCACACGGTTTCACTGGGAAATCTGACTGCATTTTATTTGTGAAATATTAAGTGAGGAGTTTGTGAATATACTCCAGTAATATGGATGTGAGTGCGCCTATATTATTCCATGTGGTTCACGGACTCTTTATGTGCCCATACGTGGCCGTACTATCCATGGTTAACCTGATCAGTCTTTGTTGTCCCTCTCTGGTCACCCTCCCTTTGTGTAGTGTCTAGATTTAATGTGAGAATCTCTTTCTGGACTCATTCATCGAAACACTGAGGTATCCTACTTTTATGCGGAAGTTTGGTCTTTGTAGGACCACTTAGGCTTTACTTTTCTGGTCCCGTTCATCGAAAGTATGCTCGAATTCTTGTCAGGTGAACCGTATACTCATAGGGATATCTTCAATCGAATGCCACGGTGCTATCGGATTATCCATGGCTGAGTTGTCGTTCCGCTTTCCGACTTCAGCGCATTCTTGGCCGTTGGTTTATCTTATTTCTTACTGTTTTACTGTTTTTGAAGCCCGTCTCTAAAAGTGGTTGTAAAATCGGTTGTAAGGGTTTTAACAGTGCTTGTAAGCTCGGCGAACATTTCGAACAGCCCACTACCGGTTTAATCATTCCTGGGGGCTAGTGGATAAAGATGGTCACCACGTGTCTGGTAAAATCATTTTCTATTCTTGAGCGCTTTCTTGAAGTTATAATTGACTACTTTCTCAAGAGTTATTAACGAGCCTTCGGCTGAACAGTGATTATTACAGTTGTAGGCTACTACTTCGTCTCGCTTAATTTT